TATATATATTTAAGTGTATCTATAAGTTATTAGTCTGCAGCATTATTACTTATTGATGTTATCCAGCTCATATTGAAAGGGCACTAGTTGAGTTAGGATTTTGCGATCATTATTATTCCTGTTTCATTCGGTTTATCTATACTTGTATACGAAGTTGTCTGTATTAGCAGTAGGTCGACCACATTGGATTGGTCAGCTAGCAATCTATAACATAATCGTGCGTCCTACGAAGTGACCCCATCTATCTCTTGCCACATAACTGACACGTGCTGAAGTAGGCTGATGGATGCGCAGAAACAAAAATATGTCTAATCATTAAATATCTATGAAGTGGCATTCCTGTTTGGAAAAGGTTTAGAGAGGAACGTTCAGCTTCGCAGTAATCGAAAACAATCTTCGACGAACTGGCTATTTGTATACGTGTTTAAGTATTCAGCGCTATCTCGAATCCACTTCAGGATCGATTTTCCGCCATAATTTTCGGAGGACTAACGAACTATGTCTGTTACGGAGTGCCTACGTGTTCCATGATGTACTACTATTAGCAGGTTCAACGGCATATAGAACGAATGGAGCCAGGATTTCGAGTTCATAACTTGAGGTCCGGCCGAGCAGATTAGCTGGATTCAGTATAGTCTCGATCCCGCACCATTTGGTTCGGCCTTATGCGGTCCAATGTGTGTGCTCAAAACGGATCGTCTGCAAGAACAAAAGACAGAAGGTAGAACTTGTTTGTGAGGCTCGCCCTTTATATATCATAGATAAGAATAGGAGGATGTCGTGGATGTAGCGGTCTCCGCATTGACAACTTCATATGAACCTTTGTCTCTTCCTTTCGTGGCTTCCTTATTAATACAGAGTTAGACTATTATTGCTGAAACTATATTGCTCGCATCTAAACAACGGAATCGTCAAGTACGCTCCCTCGGCTTCTGTTCTTCCAGATCAGCTTAGGAGGTCATGAAACCGTTCTTGGTTAACAACCGACAGGCTCTTATATTTAAATGTCTCCGGGTTTGTTTTCTCACAAGGTCGCCAGAGGAGATACGTTGACGCGAAGGCAACAACGCAAGCTTTCCAAGGTGACGCGCAGTGAAAGTAAAAATGCATGTTTACGCAGGGCCTATTATGCCTATTGTCATCACCTTTACACATGAGGTTGTCGAATTGGTATTGAATGTTTTTCTGGCTGGATGGCTTTGAAACCAAAATCATTTAAATGATGAGATTTGCCAGTAACAGATGTTCTAAAATTGTCGGAAGGCTTTCAGTCAAACTTTAGATAGTGTCTTGAAAATGAGTGAAATTTCTGAAAAATCGCAAGATTTTACAATATATTACGATACAGGCATAAATGCTGTCTAGGCTCATAAAAAATGTTTCTGTTTATGATCAGGATATCTTATTGGAGGAAACAACCTAAAAAAGGTTGTGTGATTGTTGTTTTTGGAAGTTCTAATGTCGAATGATAGTGGCCTACTAATTATAGAAGAAGTTAATGAAATTATTACAAAAACTGAGAAGGACAGGAACCTGAAGGATCACGATATCATCAGAGAACTTAACATCCACCACCAAAGTTTTAAGTAACTTGAGAACGTTGACTACCAGAAAAAGGTCAATACTTTGGCGTCAAATTGGCGCGAAAGAATTCTACAGGAACGCAACGAAGTCCAGATATTTTTTAAAACATATGATTAGGACCGATGAAAAGTGAATACAAAGGTGTGCTTTTTAATCTATAGTAAAGTACAACCCAGGCTGATACCAAGGACGTTGATGGTACGCGCTGGGTTGGATTAGAGAACAACCGTGCACTGAGTTTCCGCCGCCTGGTAAAAATTAATTTCAACCTTTGCTGTCAACGACTAATAAAATTAGAGTAAATGATTGAAGAAAATCGGCCAAACCAGTAAACAGAACAGGGGCCATCTTCCACTTTGGCGATGCCAGACCACGCACATTTTTCGAAACCTAGGAAAATCAATACATCCGCCGTACGGTCTGGTTATTATAGCGCTATCAAGCTAGCTGGTATTTATCTACAAAAATTTCTTAAAAGTTAATTTAGTTCTAATGGATAAACGCAAAAGGCAGTTGTAACAGTTTTTCGCCCAAATACTATAGAAGTGTTTTATGTTGCTGGGTATCAAAAAAAAAAATGGGAAAAGGTCAAAACGGTCAGTTAAACATCTCAGTTCTTTGCTAAAGTTCAGTATCCTATATCCTTATAGTAAAGGTATTGCTTGATTGGCATAGGTAAATCTGTAGGACTTGTTGACGTTTGCTTTTACTTAGTGCGCTTTCTGTATGGCCTAGCATTTGACCCCCATGCGCTTCCACAGCTGAGCTTGCGCCTGGCTTGCATGGTGTTTTTTTTTTTGACAGTCTAAACTCTTCGTTAGAGTAAAATAAGCTTACGTGCGTGAAGCCAAATACGAGCATTTGTTAACTCCATAATACTAAGCGATCACTTTTTTTTAGCTTTGGATCTCAGCTCCCTAAAACAATTATGAAACGTTCTAATCAACCTTCGTTAGCTTACGTAGGGCAGTGAACGAAGAAATACAAAGCTTCGCCGGATGAACAATATAACCGTAGCGTTTGAGCTTCCTATTTTGCACCGTCTGCCACACGATTGAATAATATAGACGTCGATCTTATGGCAAAAAAAGAGTATAAAAGTGTAGACGTTGCCCATTTGCTTACTGCATTGAAATTACTTCCACTGGCTGCGCGTGTCTGGTATGAATATTTATCAAAGCAATATGTATAGAGATAGCCGGACCCGCCATGGCTACGCCAGTGCATGCGGATTTACGGTGTGGTAGAAATTTTTAAACATGCACGGAGTATGAGCATGCAGAAGGTTAGTAGGGAGATGTGGCTTCATCAAAAATGTTAAATGATTATTAATGAATAAATAAATATGAAAGTTACTGAGTAGCAGAAAGGAGAGCTGAAAATGCTCACGATTGCGAGGCTATTATAATTCTAGTCTCGTGTCCGAACTATGTAGCAACTTCTAGCAGTTGCTACATAGCAGGAACTTAGCATTTTTTTCATGAATTAATATTTAACGTAATATTCAGTTTGGTGCCTTTCTAAACACTTGCATGGTAAGATACAAGCAGATGTAAAAAATAAGTAATGGATGAACCTTCGAAATAAGGGCACGTTCTCAGCATCATTGATTACCGCCTGTGTCACCAATTTGAGTGTTTGCGAGAAAAATGCCAAACCTAGGCTGCTGAAGCAAAACTTGGGTCTTTTTAACTGCTAGTTTACCAATAGGTTTTGTTTGAGGGACTACCGGAACCTCACTTTTCAAGTTTCATGTTGAATTTTACGTCGGGTATCGCTCCCAGACGGCTGCACGAAATGATGTGTATCTATACTCGGGTTCGAACCCGATGGTGGTGGTGGTGGTGACTCGGTGGCTCGTAAGTGACCAATGTGTGAATATTGCTCAACTTAACAGTTGGCTTATGTGTAATTTAAACACAGCATTTATTTGAGGAAGAATAATTCGTAAACTCATCAGGCGTAAACTCTCTAATCGACAACCAACGTAAGGGAATTCAACCAAAAGCTGGCAGACTTCTAGCATGCTCAAGACAGCTGCCGTTGCTAATAGTCAGTGCTCGAAAGAAACTGAAGGTCAGTTGCGGCAGAACATCGAAACAGTGTTGTGACGAAACTCAAATGAAGTCAATGCTCGAATTCTGAATGCGGCGGTATGGAGGCTCGATAATTGCCATCAGGATTAATTGTTAGTCTATAGCGGTTCTTGAAAGGTCTACACAGAACCCTGTCACAAACACGATACAAAACGTAGAAAATAAGAATCGAAGATCGAGCGCGTGTTTGCTCTACCGTCGTTGATTCAAAAGTAAGGTGAAATAAAACACCCAAGGAGATGCGTTTCGACATAAAAGCAAAGCTACCCGAGGTGGATGATTGCACCTATATCTTTTTATTGGCCGACTCTCGACCTGGAGTACTTCATAGGTTTCCAGCTGTAAAGTTTTTCGGATAGTACCATGAGTAGCCATGAGACGGCGTTCTCGTTTTCGCAGTCTTCATGTATCCCTCCAGCGTTATTTGTAATCTTTCTCCATTCATCCACCCATTAAAGCTCTTTCGAGAAAAATTCTTTGCACGGATGCGCAGGT